TTCTCCGCCTCGGACAGGCACACAGATTGGTCTTAACTGTAACTTCATGGCTGTTGTAGTAGGACATTGCTGGGTGCAAAAATTGGATGCCGCTTTTGCCTACACTACAAAAATGACACATACAGTCACTGCACTTTACAGTGTGGCTTCGGTCACCCTCCTACCCCTGCCCTCCCCGCCCTCCACCCCTCCTGATCCCAACCACCAGCTCGGTTGCGCATCCCTGATTGTCCAGCGCCTCGGGACGTGCTCGTGACGTGAAAGGCGCTGCACAAATATAATTTGCCGTTGAAGCGCTTTGAGACGTCCTGCCGACATGAAAAGGTGCTGCGCCAAACAAGTAATGGTTATTAACGTAGGTACCGAAGAGTTGGTCCTGCGAAATAGAAAGAGAATCGAGAGAGTGCGAGTGTGTGTGGCACTCCTGGTAATGTCATTAAAATTCTCAGCCTTCCAAACCATCTCCAGAGTATTGCTCTGAGTCTGACCTGGGACTCTCGGAAAGTGAATTGTGGAAAACGAAGGGCGCCAGAAGTGGACTGGTTCTTGTGAGGCCAAGACTCTGGAGAAGAAGTGCTTTTTTCTTCCCCACTCACCCCCCCCCCGCCCCCAGTGCCTGGTAATCTACACAGTACTTGTTCCTCATTACAGCTGGTGGATTTTACTCGAGCTCCTGGGAAATGTTTATGGAAAGCATTTCAGGAATAAACAGCAATAGGAATGTACTTTCGTTAGTTGCGTGTGTGCGTGTGTAATCTTCCAAAAAGTAAAGGATGGGAAGAGTACATGATCGGTTTTGTTATGATAAAATCGAGTCTACAAGTCGCTTTCTATATTATTTGTGAAACCTACAGAATAAATTCCTTCGCTGGCGAAAGCCAAGTCCGAGCACTTGTGAGTGAAGCGTTATACTTTGACTGGATGGAGAATTCTAGAAATTTACATTGTGGAATAATAATAATAAACCTTACATTTGATATAGCGCCTTACCACATCAAGGTAGGACGTCTCAAAGCACTTCACAGGATTTACCCTGAAATGGAGTGACCGTGTATTTGTCAACAAAGACAACAGCACAATTGCGCACAGGGAATTCCCACAAACAGACGTGGAGTGAACGACCGACTTTATTTGGGGGGACTGTTGACCAGGACTCCGAGGGAGAGAGAGAGGGAAATTCTTTTCTCTTAGCGAATAATGCCATGGGATCTTTATCGTCGACCTGAACAGGCAGACGGGACCTCGGTTTAATCTTTCATCCGAAAAGCTGCACCTCCGATATTGTAGCAAACTCCCCCAGCGCTGCATTGCATTGTCAACTTGGACTGTGTGAGTTCAAGTCTCGACGTGGTATTCGAATCCACAACCTTCTGACTCCGAGGCGAGAGTGCTACTATTCATGGCCCATGAAGTCTGTCCCAGGTCCCAGAGTGAGCTGTTTCGTTCAATCCCACTATCGCGCTCTAACCCCAAACCCTTCCAATTCCTTGCCTTTCATCTACCCGTCCACTTCTGCCTATGAAAGCACGTCCCGGTTAGCTCCCGCTAGACGGGCTTAAGTGGGGAAAAGGGAGAAAATGATGAAGATAGAAGTAGAGGAGGAGGAGAAGAAAGTTTGCAACAGCTGTGTTCTGCTGTGGTCTTGGCTGTGCTTTATCCGTGTTTTCTTTTCTGGCTAGTTTAAAACAAACATTGACCAAAGAGATAATGGGAAGAGTAATGATTGGTGAATATTTAACAATTCCTCAGGCTGATGGAGAGCCAATAATAATAATAATAAGCCTTGCCTTTGATACAGCTCCTTATCATGTCGCCAAGACATCTCAAAGCGCTTCACAGGATACACTGTAAAGTTGATTAACTGTATTTTGTGGGCGAAACGCGACAGCCAGTTTGCGCACAGCAATGTCCCACAAACAGCCATGGAGCGAGTGACCAATTTTATTTTGGGGACGGGGAAGGGAGGATAGGATTGTTGGCCAGGACGCCAGGAGAGAGAAACTCCCTTCTCTTTTTGAATAGTGGGATCGTTAACGTCCACCTTAATGGGCGGACGGGACCACCTTTCATCGTCTCATCCCAAGTGGTTGAAGTTCAGAGTGGATGTCATCTTGTATCAAGAAGCCTTGATGAGTTCTCGATCAAGACGTCCTGATCACTGGAAATCTTTTTTTTCAACCCTCCCCCCCATTGATCTATGATGATGTTAAATTGGAAACGACAGAGCCAAGTGAAAAATGCGTTGCCCTTGAGGCTGGGAGCGATTATTTTATCCTTTCCCAAAGTGCACTGAATTAAATCTGGTAAAATAGATTGACCTGACGATCATTAAGTAAGCCTTTTAATAGAATATTTTACAATTTGTGACTAATTTAGATAAAGTGCGCCAGTCCAGCTATTAAGACGTGCTATGGAGGAGCATGGGAAGGACTGTGTGTGCAGGGACCTGCTTGCCATTGGAGGAGGCCAGGCTTACATACAGAGGAACGAACAGGAGTAGGTCATTCAGCCCCTCGAGCCTGTTCTTCCAGTCTATTAGATCATGGCTGATCCGTGCCTCAACTCCAATTATCTTCCTTTTTCCCCATATCCCTTGATACCCTGACCTAACAAAAATAATTCAGCCCAGATTGAAGTCTGTTGCCTGCCAGGGTTACTTCACATAAACCCACTAATCCCTTTCACACCCTCGCACTTCCCGATCTCCTCCCAACCCCACTCGTCCGCTCCTCCGATCGGCTAAGTGCAGGCTGAGCTTTCTGATTCTACCCCACCATCGTCACCCCACCCCCCCCTCACCTACTCCCTTCCTCTCCCCCTCTGAAACTCGCTGTTGTAAAGCTCTGATGTGATTCTCAGTGACGGGTGCTGAATAGATTGATAATGTTGTTCTACTTTTCTACTTGCCAAACATCCCCAATCTTTTGAGGATAACAAAATAAACAACAAATTACATTTGTATCGCACCTTTCATGTCGGGAAGTGTTCTTCCCAGATGGAGGGCAACCTGCGCCCAATTGGACACGCTTAAATTTCTATTACAATGTGTAGTGACTGTATTTGTAGGTGGACACGTTACTGCAAGAAAGTTCTGCCAGGGGTAAGCTGGCATCCGGCTTTTCCAGATCCAGCACGCTTGACACCACAGAATTCTTTCCAGTAGGTGAAGATCTTAAAGATCAATTTGGAGCTTTGCACAATTTTTTTTCTCTGGAATTTTGTTTTGCCAAAAGAAGCGAGATCTGGCTGGCCTGTTTTATTTAACCCCCACATAGACCTACTCGAGGTAAAATGCATCTCCCGATGGCACTGCAAAGGATGTTTTACTTTGACTGGATGCTAGGGGGTCACTTCGCTTGGCAGTGTACTCTGTGAAGCGCTTTGAGGTGTCCTCCCAACATAAGAGACGCTGTATAATATGTAAAGATTATCATTGGAATCGCAAGATCACAAAATTGGTTCTGATAACCGGGGCTTTTTTGACCTAATCCGATCGCGTCCCACCAGAGCACCCGCCTTACTCTCCTCCCATCATGGCATCAAGCTGTTACTTAAAGGAGTTCCAGTGTCCTGGCCTGGTCCAAACTTCCAGGCAACCTGTTTCTGTCATTAATTACCCTCTGGATAAAGGAAAAAAACGTCGTAAAATTGTTCCTGTGCAACTCTTAATCTTGTATCCTCTTGTTCTAGGAACAGGAGTAGGCCATTCAGCCCCTCAAACCTGTTCTGCCATTCTGTTCGATCGTGGCTGATCTATACCTCAACTCTAATTCCCGTCTACTGTCTCGATGGTTCCCAAAATATTACTGTTCCGGGTTTACTTTCTCGCTCCCATTTTAAAATGATTTACACCCCCTCCGAGTCATCTTCTCTCAAGACTGAAGAGTCCCAGCTCGCCTAATCGTTGCTCAGTGGGTCAAGCAGGTCCCGAATGGAGCCTCTCTAACCTCGCGAGCTCATCAACCTGCCCAACGCACTGTAGGCTGGCATCAGACCAACTCGCCCCAAAGTTGGACTTGTTAATAACACTCGAGTGTATTGAAAACTCTTTGAAAATGGATTATTTGTGTAATGAAGACCACAGATTTCCCAGGGTGAGGTCTTCCAGCTGGAAAAACATTTGCTCTTTCAGACTCTCTTTTTCCCAGGCTGCAGCGTCTTTCCTCTCCCACAGTTTGGGTTATGGCAGAAGCTAGACCTGCACATTGGCTGTGACGTTCCAAAAGAAGCCTTTTGGCACTTATTACTTGAGACGTCTCAAAGACTTGATAAGGCACTATATCAAATGCAAGGATTGTTATTATTATTATTGATGGGACCGTTTGGAAAGAGAAGCAAGTTTCTCCTGGTATTATGGCCAGCGCTCTTCTTTTTCCCCTAGTTAGTGGTCTCACCTCCGAGTTGGAAGGTTGTGGGTTCATGTCACCGTCTTGGGAGCTCATCGAGAGGGCTAAGAAGGGGAGGATGACATTTATTTTCCTCCACAAAACACAGTAAATTCACTTTACAGTATATTCTGTGAAACACTTTGAAGATGTGATAAGACGCTAAATCCAATGCAAGGATTATTATAATGAAGAAACACACACTTGAAGGTGGATAGATTTTTGCTAAGGAAGGGTATCGAGGGATACATGGCAAAGGCGGGTACTTGCAATTGAGATAAAGATCAGTCACGATCTAATAGAATGGTGGAACAGGCTGGAGGGGCTGAATGGCCTCCCCCTCGTTCCCATGTTCCAATGGGAAAGTGCAGCGCCCTTTCCAGTTGCTTTCTATTTACTTATTGCTGGTTTGGTGTGTTTTTCTGTCAAAAAAACAGACATCGCCGTCTTGTTGAAATAATGTGTGTTTATAACTAAGGAGCCTTAAATAATTCACGTACAGTAGAAATCTTGCGCTAATGATTTTTTTGTGCAGTCAAGCAGTGTGCCTCTATCCAGCCCCCCCCCCCCCACAACTCCCCCAACCACCCAGAGTCTCAAAAAATTTCCCCCCTTGTATTTTTGTTGTTCCACTGAACGAAGCATTGTTTGTTTGTTTGTTTGTGCTACAATTTAGAACACCACTCCATACCGTGGTTCTGGTGGAGGGGAAGATTGATAACAATCAATGATTAATTGATTGACGTGGTGGTGCCTTTCACCCTCGTCAAGGGAGAGGACGTCTACCAAGCCCTTTCACCGCGGGAAGTGCGTGAGGACCCGCACCTCTCTGGCGTCGGACTCCTCGGCGTTCCCTGGAACATTCCAGCTCAGCGTGCTGCTGCAGAGCCGGTACAGCGCGGAGGCGCTGGCCTTCCTCTTCACATACAGCCGTAGCTTGTCCCTGAAGGTCTCGCCCAGGAAGCTGTAGATGATGGGGTTCAGGCAGCTGTTGGAGAAGGCCGCCAGGGTGACCACGTGATGGACCAGCGGGTGGTAGCGGCCGGCGGGCTCTGGATAGCCAGGCCCCTGCGAGCCGAGGGCCTCCGAGGGCCGCTGCTGTCCCTGCAGGAGCCGGAAGCTGATGAAGATGTTTTCCGGCAGCCAACAGACAAAGAACACGAGCACCACCACCGCGATCATGCGCAGGGCCCTCTGTCGCCGCGGCCAGAGCCGCCTGTGCTTCTGCGCCCTGACCAGCACACGGACGGTCAGCGAGTAGCACAGGCCGATGACCGAAAAGGGCAGCACAAAGCCCAGCGTCACCTCCATCCACTGGATCTCGGGCACGTCGGCAAAGCAGAAGGTGGGCTCGTCCGCGTGGCTGGCCTGAACCACGGCGAAGGGCCCGAGAGCCGCCAACACGGCCGCCAGCCAGATCAGCCCGCAGCTCCACCGGGCGTGTCGCATGGTCCTCAGGGGGCCCGAGGGCTTCGCTGCCCAGGCCAACGCCAGGTAACGGTCGAAGCTCATCCAGGTCAGGAAGAAGATGCTGCTGTACATGTTGATCTGCAGGAAGAGGGACATGAAGGTACAGAGCACGGCGATGTCGTAATACCTGTCGTTCAGGTTGAAGACTTCGATGAGGGAGTCGGCCACGAGGATCAGGTCAGCCGCGGCCAGGTTGACAAAGTACAGGTCCGGGATGGTCATCTTCTCATGCTGGTCCAGGTTGACCACCAGGATCAGGCTGTTGCCGATGAACCCCACGGGGAACAGGAACACCGTGTACACACAGGACAGGAACAGGCTCACGCTGTAGAATTCTGCGTCCTCTCCCTCGCCACCGTTGGTGTAGTCGCAGCCAGGCGTCCCGTTACACTGCCGGGAGGCGTTAAACTCCGTGACATTGGGAAACAGCAGCCTCTGGGCCACCAGCTGGGCTTCCATGATCTTTTAAAAAGGCCGCTGTTCTCTTTCTCGCTTTTTCTTTCTCTCTCTCTCCTCCACTCACAAAATATTGTGACGGCGAGAATCTTTTTTGGCTTCTTGTCCATCACATTTATCCCTGGGTGTGGGGCGGTGTGTTCGATCACACAGCCTCTCGTATTTCTCCACCACACCCCGCACTCTGTGGAGTCTGGCTGCGGTTCGGCCCTGGTACCTGCAGCTACTTTGTGACCTGGGATCAGTTAAAGCGTTGCCCATCTCCAGTCCAAAGGGCTCAAAGGTTCAAAGCGATGTCTGGCCAGCTTCCAGCCGAGCCCGCACTCTGTGTTTTGTGGGCGCATGAGTTTGGAATGGGTGTCTGGATGGACAGAGATTTGTGTGTTTGCACTGTTCTGTTGTCCACTATCTTCCCCCCACCTCCCACCACCCCCTGCCACCACCCTCTCCCCTCCTGTACACTGCAGAAGCTTGCGATCGAGGGGGGAAACCAAGCTATTTTGGTGTTAATTCCCCAAATCGAACCAAATGCCTTCAACGGTTCAGCTGTTGAGAAAGGCAGGCAGCTCCCACCTATGGTGGAGTATTTTTGGTTTGTGTACTGGAAAGCTTTATATCTTCTCTCGCTCGCTCTCGCTCTTTCTTGAAGAAAATCCTTCTCTCTTCCCGTTGGGAACAAATGCTGACTCTTTGAGAAAAATCCAAGCAAGGCAGAATCCAGCACCTTGTAACAGCAAGAGAGGGGGAAAGGAGAAGATGGATTAGCACATATTGAACCCACAGAAGAAAATAAATCCTCTTCCCTCCTCTGCTGCCTGACCTGCTGAGTGTTCCCAGCGATATGTGTACTTTACAGCTTTGTCAAGTGAGATATGAATTTTGAATAGAATCTTTTGATGGAGAACTTTTCACAACAGGAGCACATCTCAAAGCTTTTCACAGTAAAGTATAGTTAAAAATACTTGACTTTCTTTCTTGCCTACAGTAATGCTCAGCAAACAGAAACACGTGTGTATGTGATAAAGTATATGTGATAAAAAGTAACACTGCATGCTTCTGACTTAACCCACTCTCCAACAACAATTCATTGGGGACGGGTGGGTGTGATGGGGGGTGGGGGAAGAGATTTATGATTTATAGCAATCCAAGGTTTTGGAGAATGAGTATGTTGTGGGACACACTCACTCTAATGGCAGCTGAGTTGGCTTCAAAGGGAATCATTAACCCCCCCAGAGGTTTGGAGCATTGATTTTTACTCCTGCTTTGAGCTTTCAGCTCCCCGGTAAGTCAGAGACGTGTTTTGCATGGATATTAGAGAGTGGTTTATAAATAAACAGGATCTTAGGCTTTCCATGAGGTGTGACTCTTGTGATTTTAAACCATGTTACTTGTTATGGGGCTGGCAAATCTTCTGAATAAAATTCAATCAGTAAAACTCACAGAACAAAGTGTTCACTCAGTCCCACTGTCCTGCCTTATCCATTACCCCAAGCCTCTATCCTTCATACACACACATCTATAAAAAAATAATTTGGTCACTCAATCCATGACTGGTTATGGGACACTATTGTACGCAATTCACCCACAGAATATATAGTCAATTCACTTTACAGTATATTCCGTGAAGGGCTTTGAGTCGTCTCAACAACTTGATAAGGTGCTATATCAAATACAAGGATTATTATTATAACCTCTCTAATTCCTTCTTGAAACCCACCATGGACTCTCCCTCCACTATCTTAGTTGGCAGACAACTGAATCGGAAAAAAAACATTCTTCAAAGCTCTTCTCAGACAGTTTCTTGTTCAACAACAACAACTATTTAGATCTATAAAGTGCTTTTCATTTACCAGCATAGAACATCCAACAGCACTGCACAGTAGTGGGATTTGACTGAGCGAGGGAGGAGGGGGAGAGGTGACTGTAAACCAACAAGCTATGAAAGGGTGCTTGCTGGATGATTGGCTGTCATGTGAAGGAATGTTCCCCTCTCTCGTCAGATAGTGGATGGTTAAAAATGTGAATGATAATAATCCTTGCATTTGATATCGTACCTTATCACGTCTTCAAGACATCTCAAAGCTCTTTGCAGAATATACTGTAAAGTGAATTGACTGTGTACTCTGGGGGCGAAATGAGGCAGCCAGTTGCTCACATCAGCGTCCCACAAACAGTCGTGGATTGAAGTGACCAATATTTTTTATGAATTGTAATGTTTCAAAAGTTATTGCACTTGTGGTCACTCCGAGAAGTGTTTACTTGTCTCATGGCCAAGGGCTCTGGATGGCTCAACCCATTGGACATCAGCCAGTTTGGTTCCTCCTGAGCAAACGCTCAGGGGCATAGTGCCTGCTCTCCAGTCCTTGAGTGAGTACCCTTGGATCCAGGCAGTCTTGAGGGTTTAAGCCTACAAAATACACACTTGATCCACTTCATATTACATCCTGTGAAGCGCTTTGAGACGTCTCAACGATGTGATAAGGCGCTATATCAAATTCAATGATTGCTATACTGATTAAGTACTGCGTTGGTGCTGACAGTGGCGGAGGTGTGTTGGGGTGGAGTTGGGGGGAATTGGTAGCACGAAAAATGTGGGCCTTATTAAAACATGAATCCTAGAAATGTTCCTAAGGACCCAGTGTTCCGTTTGGGCCTCGGTGCAGGCCGGGACGACTCAAAAAGAGCTCCACAGGATTCACCGCAAAGTGTAGTGTAGTGACTGCGTATTTCTGTAGGGAAGGAAACGCAGCAGCTAATTTTGCCCACAAACAGCCGTGAAGTGAAGTGACCCGTTTTATTTGGGGGGTGCGGTTGTTAGCTAAGTAACTGGCTGCGGTGGATGGGGTGAGGGATGGCTGGGTGCAGTCTCGGGATGTGCATCGCAGTTGCTTCTGACTCGGGGACCGGTGGGGTGGGGGGCTGGGCTAAGCAGTGGTTAGTTAAAGTTTTGTTTCAGTTTGGGAACGAGAGATCCTGGATTTGAGGTTGAACAGTCAGAGAGAGTCCACGATTGGTCCCAGTTGGGTTTTTTAAAAAAAACTAGTGGAACCTTAGTGGTGAACTCTTAACTATTGGAACTAAATGTCAAGTATGGAAGGTCTTGCTGGTAAACTACAGTTTTAGCCTTGCACCGTCAATAGCGCTCTCGCCTCTGGGTCAGAAGGTTGTGTGTTTCTCCCCTACACCACCCACCATCACTTTGGGGGATTTGAACCGACAGTCTAGGATGATGCCCCAGGTCAGTAGTACTGGTTGGGTGGGCGCAGGAGGTGGGTGGGCGGGCGCTGCATTGTCGGAGGCGCCAGCCTTTGGGTGAGACGTTAAGCCAAGCCGCCCATGTGTGCCCTGTTCACGTGGGTGTTAAATCTCCTTTGCCGCAACGCCCCTTTCAATAAGAAGCGATTCTCAGTCATTCACTTCGTGGCCGTTTTGTTGGCCGTGCACAAAACGAGCCGTGGCTTTTAGGCGTCAAAATACACAGTCACTACACTTGACCACCAATTCCCCGTGACGCCTTTTGGAGATGTGAAGTTAAAGGGTAAAGGTTATAATGTGGAGTCCTGTAGCTCAGTGGTGAGAGCACTCGCTTTGTAAGCGAGAGACCTGAGTTCAATTCCAGGCAGAGGGCGAAACCTTGGGCAAGTTTCCTTACTCCACACAGAGCCTAATAATAATCCCTCCAAAACCAAAAACAATAATGAATTGGTCATTTTCAATTGACTGTTTGTGGGACATTGCTGTGCGCAATTGGCTGCCGCGTTCGCCCACAAATATACAGTCAATTCACTTTACAGTGTGTTCTGTGAAACGCTTTGGGACGTCCTCCCGACGTGAAAAGCGCTATATCAAATGCAAGGATTATTATTATTATTATTATAATTTGACCCAGTCGCTCTCCTTCAAATTTCCTGGTGCTTCACAGCAGCAACTGGTCTTCTGGTCTATGTAATGGGACACATTTACTTGAATATATTGTTTCACACAAGACATCTTGTGTGTAATTTGTTCCTGTTAATATACACATGATTGTCCTGTTATTGGGTCGTTTGGGGTCTCTGTCTTTTACCAAATGTTTTTTCTCGCTGTTAAGACGGCTATCGACCTGTGTGCAGTGTACAGTTTTGACAGGGGTTCACTATCTATTGTAAATGTTATGGTGTCGCATTATTTCTGTTTACAATCTCGGGCCAAACACAGTCTGTGATGATTTTAAACGTTTATTCTTTTATGGCCACGTTTTTATCTTTTTCGTGTTCTTGTCAGGTTTGGCGTGATTTTTTTCTCTCCCTCCCCCTCTCTCTCTCTCTTGCTACCTCTGTACTTGGATCCCAAAGTCAACACAATCAAGGGTGTACCCCAGTGGTTAGAAGGTTGTGGGTTCAAGCCCCACGTTGAAACTTTGAGCTCACTGTCTAGGCTTGGCTGGCACTCCAATACAGTGCTGGCGGGGAGGAGGGAAAGAGAGAAAGAGAAAGAGCAGGCTTTCTCATTACGAGGTGCTGTCCTTTGCATGAGATGTTAAACAGGTCCTGCCTATGCCCGTTCGGGTGGACGTTAAAGATCCCGCGGCGCTGTTCAAAAGAGAAGTGAGTTTCTCTCGCCCGGTGTCCTGACTAACAGTCCCCCAGGTAAAATTGGTCATTCACTTCATTGCTGTTGGTGGGACACTTTGCTGGGCGCACATTGGCTGCCGAGTTCACCTACAAAATGTGCAGCTTTACCGCATAAAATACAGTAAAACTTTGAGCCTCCTCTATAATAATAAGATAATAATAATCCTTGCATTTGATGTAGCCCCTGATCACGTCGTTGAGACATCTCAAAGCGCTTCACGGAATACACTGTAAAGTGAATTGACCGTATAATTTGTGGGCAGCCAATTGCGCACAGCAGTGTCCCATAAACATCCCACAATCGTGGATTGAACGACCAAATTATTTTTTTTAAGGGATTATTATCCTCTAGGACTTGAGTAGATGTTGAATTGGAGTGCAAGGACTATTATCATTGCATCC